AGGCTGAGGTGAGTAGATTGCCTGAGCCCGCGGGTTCGAGACCCGTCTGGGCAGCGAGACCTCATCTCTACAATAAATCAAAAAATCAGTCGGGCATGGTAGCGTGCGCCTGTAATTCAGGCTACTTGGAAGGCTGAGGTGGAAGGATCACCGGAGCCCAGCAGGTCGAGACTGCGGTGGCTGGGAGCGGCCACTGCACTCCAGTCTGGGTGACAGAGTAAGACTCCAACTCAAAAAATAAAAAATAAAGTAAACATTACCTTTTCAAAAACATGTTAATTTGGTTGATAATAATATGTTCGTGTTGGTTTATTGATTATAACAAATACACCTTGATGTGGAATGCTGATGGTAGGGGAGGCTGCATGTGTGTGGAAGGTAGGGGGTATATGGGAACTCTGTACTTTCTGCTCAATTTTGCTGTGAACTCTAAACTGCTTTTAAAAATTAAGTCTATAAATTTTAAAAATAAAGAAACAAAATAGGTAGACCACCATTTTGCCACCTACTTATTTCACAGTATATGTATAAAAAAACATGATCCGGCTGGGCTTGGTGACTCAGCCTGTAATCCCAGCGCTTTGGGAGGCTGAGGTGAGTGGATTGCCTGAGCCGGCAAGTTTGAGACCCACCTGGGCAACTTGGTGAGACCTCATCTCTACAATAAATCAAAAATTAGCCAGGTGTGGTAGCGCATACCTGTAGTTCCAGCTACTTGGAAGGTTGAGGCAGAAGGACAGCCGGAGCCCAGCAGTTTGAGGCTGCGGTGGCTGGGAGTGGCCTGGGTGACAGAGTGAGACTCCAACTCAAAAAAAAAAAAACAAAACATGATCTGACAACTTTAAACTGTTTGGGCCTCATTAAAATAGCATCTGGTCGGGCTCAGTGGCTCAGCCTGTAATCCTAGCACTTTGGGAGGCCGAGGTGAGTGGATTGCCTAAGCCCGCAGGTTCGAGACCCGCCTGGACAACTTGACGAGATCTCATCTCTACAATAAATCAAAAAATTAGCTGGGCGTGGTAGCGCGCACCTCTAATTCTGGCTACTCGGAAGGCTGAGGCGGATGGATCGCCGGAGCCCAGTGGGTCGAGGCTGTGGTGGCGGGAGCAGCTACTGCTCTCCAGTCTGGGCGACAGAGTGAAACTCCAACTCAAAAAAAAAAAAAGAAAGAAATGTGTATGACATATTAGTAAGATAAGTAAACTAGCTTAATGACAAATGCATATAGTGTCATCTGTTTTGTCTGGCTTGTAATTCTAAGATATATTGACATAATCTTTATTATTTGAAGTCATGTACTACTTAATAGTTACATAAGGATTAACAACTATAAAGAACAAGTTAAATTCCTGAGGTCTACAACAGAGGTTTTCTACCGTCTCTGACCTGATGTTCCCTTCTGTACTACCCATAAATATCCTGAAATGGAATTAATAGATAACATTACCTACCCACATAATTTTTTAAAGTCAACAAAGTGCCCATTTTAATAAAACAAAAGTAATTTACAATGCAATAATATGTGTTTTAATACGAACATATTTAGGCATGACTACACTAGAAAACATAGTGAAGGAGTTATTACAGGGATCAGAATCCAAATACAGTCATGCACCACATAACAATGTTTTAGTCAACAACAAATCACATATACAACAGTGGTCCCATGACCATAATGGAGATGAAAAATTCCTATCTCCTAGTGACGCTGTAGCCATTTTAACTCCCTAGCGCCATGCATTACTTATGTGTCTGTGACAGTGCTGGAATAAACAATCCTACTGCACTACCAGTCACATAAAAGTATAGCACATACAATTACATACAGAACATTATACTCAATAATGATCATAAATGACCGTGTTACTGGTTTATGTGTTAACTGTATGTTTCATTGTTACTTTAGAGTATACTCCTATTGATGAAAAAACTAACTGTAAAAGAGCCTCAGGCAGGTCCTTCAGGAGGTATTCCAGAAGATGACACCAACCAGAGATGACAGCTCCATGTGTGTTACTGTCCCTGAAGACCTTCCAGTGGGACAAGATCTAAAGGTGGAAGACGGTAATATTAATGATCCTGACCCTGTATAGGCCTACACTAATGTTGTGCTTGTGCCCTAAGGTTAATTTATTATTAAAAAAAGAAAATATTTTTTATAAATTTAGTGCAGCCTAAAAGTGCAGTAATTATTAAAATATACTAGTGTAAAGTCATGTCCTAGGCCTTACATTCTCTCACCACTCACTCACTGACTCACCTACAGTTTCCAGTCCTGTAAGCTCCATTCATGGTAAGTGCTCTACACAGGTGTATCATTTTTTATTTTTTCTACCACATTTTTACTGTACCTTTTATATGCTTAGACATTATGTTTCAACTGGCTATAGTATTCAGTACAGCAACATGCTATACAGGTTTGTAGCCTGGGGCAACAGGTTATCCCATACAGCCTAGGTGTGTAGTAGGCTGTACCATCTAGGTCTGTTAAGTGCACTCTATGACGTTTGCACTATAATGAAATTGCCTAATATCACACTTCTCAGAACATATTCCCTGTATTAAGTGACACATGACTGTAAAAGTTCACACCAAAACCAAAGCCTCCCATCAGCACTTGAGAATAAATTCTGCATCAGCCAGGACTTGAAGCAATTCTTGATTTTTCTGCTCAGTGCAATAACCAAGACTTCGAAAATACCACTGTTTTCTAGAGATCATTAAGGACCATGTAATCATGAATGATTTAGGCAAACTTTTAGAAGGGGGAAGTAGTCTGGGACAGGCTTCAAATGAAAAGTTCTCTTATTACAGGGTTTGTGAGGTCATGGTCCAAGTAGGTAAAGGATCTGTGAGCCTAGTTAAGAAATTTCTATTTCCACACCTTCCTAAACACATAAACTGTCCCCTTAACGACTGACTCTTGACAGATTTAAAGCTGGCCCCATTCCATGTCTGACAGCCTCTTAAAAACATACTGACTTTCTGTTTTTTAAAATTTTTTTTTTGAGTTGGAGTCTCACTCTGTCACCCAGACTGGAGTGCAGTGGCCGTTCCCGGCCACCACAACCTCAACCTGCTGGGCTCCGGCATCCTTCCGCCTCAGCCTTCCAAGTAGCTGGAACTACAAGCATGCGCTACCACGCATGGCTTATTTTTTGTTTATTGTAGAGATGAGGTCTCGCCAAGTTGCTCAGGCGGGTCTCGAACCCACGGGCTCAGGCAATCCACTTACCTCAGCCTCCCAAAGGCGCGGGATTACATACATACTGACTTTCTAAAGTTACAGAATGGTAGACCAGGAAACATACTTTGCTATTATCTAATTCTGATCTTGATTTCAGAGATTAGTAAATTTGGTCTTATTCAGGATCATAAAGATTGTTAAAAGCAGATAAGGCCAGGCATGGAGGCTCAGCCTCTAATCCCAGAATTTTGCGAGGTCAAGGTGAGAGGATTGCCTGAGCCCAAGGATTCTCGACCAGCTTGGGCAATTTGGTGAGACCTCGTCTCTACAATAAATCAAAAAATAGGCCAGGCAAGATGGCGTCCATCTGTAGTTCCAGCTACTTGGAAGGCTGAGGCAGAAGGATCAACTGAGTCCAGCAGGTCGAGGCCATGGTGGCCATGAGCGTGCCACTGCCCTCCATCCTGGGCAACAAGAATGAGACTTCAGCCGGGCTCGGTGGCTCAGCCTGTAATCCTGCGCTTTGGGAGGCTGAGGTGAGTGGACTGCCTGAGCCCGCAGGTTCGAGACCCACCTGG